TAATTAATATATAACTAAAATATTTATTACATATACTCGTGTAGACTATGTTTCTATTAAAATAATTTATAGATTTGCCAAATATGCTCATTTGAGGCATGACAAGTCAGGAGAAATTGTATATAGATTATAAAAAAGAAATTTTTGAACTATAACTGAACTGAACATTTATTTTGCTGGAGATTTCTTATTCCGAATTTTCTCCAGTTTACTTATTTTCGGGCCATGAATGAGTATTGTGCAGTCCATGACGCCCGACTGAACAACACATGCTTGCTTTTTTTTTGTGCCTCGCGCGCCTTTTATGTTGCCTCGCACTCACATCATGTATATATGTATGTATATATATAATCATAAAAAGCATATATATATGCATGTATGTCTGTATCTGTAAGGATGTATGTGTGTATGTGTGTGTGTGTACGTACATTCAAACATCGCTTGGATTCACCAAATTAAGGCCAACAGCAGCAACAACTTGGGCAACAATTGCGCAGAGTGAAAAGTTCAGGGAACTCTCTCTGGCTTCAACACACACACACACCATCACACACACACACACACACATACAGACGTACATGTGCCCTGACTCTGACGTAGCTGAATCTAATTAGGTAAATCTCAGTTTTACGTTTCCTCCCACTCAAGCAGCTTATTAAGCCCGAACAACAGTTGCTTAGCTTTCAGTTTAAAACACCCAACATGAACTGCAAATTGTATTAAATTATTTTCATTAATTTTAGTTTATGTTTTTTTCTCTCTTTGCAGTTTGAAGAACGCCCTCCGATCGACCGAAAAAAAAAAGAAAACAAGTTTGCCGTAAGTAGAAAAAAAATCAATTTCTTGCTTTGCAACAAATTGACAGGCACTTTATCGTCTGCCTGTCAGCATTTTTGACAGCAACTTTAGCAACTGGTGCTGACAGCGTTGCCACCTGACGAAACGGTGTTGGTTTTCTCAATTGAGGCAAAGTTGATGATGTGAATGATTGAGAAAAATGTAGAGAAAGAGAAAGTAGAGTATGTGGAGTATGTGAAATACTTTATAGGGCATCTGCTCGTCGTATACTCTTTCTGATACTCTCCTCTCCTGTATCTAGGCAATTTGAAATATGATTTGATGCTTGAATTTCTATTGCCTTTCCGATTCGCCTTTGACTTCTTTGTGCGTCTATTAACGCATGAGAAGTTAATTTTCTTTGGCATAATTTTAGATACATAATTTTACAATACAAAGAAATCGCGTTTCGAGCGGTCTTCAGTGGGTATAT